AAAAGTCAAGGAGTGTGTGCTTAGAGTGGCCTGTGTGGACAGACAGCCTCACGTCCGCCCCACCCCCCATCCCAGCTTCCTGTCGGCTTCCAGGCCCACCTGCCTGCCCTGCTTTTCGGCCCAAGTGTGCCCAGCAGCTTCTGGGGGAATGCTCGCAAGGACCTCTGGCCACAGCTCATCCCCCTTGCCCTTGCTCACCTGCCTCCTCCACTCCCTGGTTCATCCATCCTTTGGTCCCGGGCCCTGACCGTAGCCTCCAGGGCTGGGTGTCTTGTACCTATGTCCCTGCTCTGAACCGCTGGGCTGCAGCTCAACAAGCTTCATTCTAATGCATAGCGCCACCCTGCTCTGCTGAAGCCGCCATGCTTCCCCACTGCCCACACCCACCCAAAACACCGACAACTTCTGTGCCCCCAAACCTCTCATGTTGTTGTCAGGGCCTGGAGGCAATGCCTTTCTCCCTAGTCCAGGCAGCTGACCCCAGAGTTTATTTCCCCTGGGAGGCCTCCCTTGGCCCAGGTTGGGTTGGGTCCCCTCGCCTCCCCCCCTGCACAGGTACGGCACGGCAGTCTTACCTGGACGCTGGTGTGACCCCGTGTCTGCGTGCCCACCACCTTCTGCTGGTGGGGTGTCTCACAGTGCTTGGGGAAGGAATTAATGAAACTGAGAGCAACCCTGGAAACCCAGAAGATGGGATCATGCGTCACGAGTGACGAGGAGGAAGGTGACCAGAAACTGGCAGGAAGAGGGTTCCGGCATGGACTGGGGAGGGAGAAGCTTGGGCAGGGGCCCTGGCTTGGACACATGGTTGACCGCAGGGCAGGCCCTAAATGGGATCCAATGGGGAACTGGGGTTCTGAGCAAGGATCTGAAGTGTTTAGGGGGACTGAAGACTTCTTGAGGGGGGTCAGTGTGTGCTTACGGGGTCCCCTATCCACGTGGAGCCAATGCTAGCAGGGTACCTGCTGAGTGAAGGAGTCTCAGTGTTCGTATGGGGTCCTGTACATGGGCACGGTTCTGTGGGGGAGGATCCTGGTGCTTGTGGATGGTTTGCTGGGGGATCAGTGAATGTGGGCTTCCCTGTTGTGTGTGGGGTTGGTGTGTGAGAGCTTCCCGTGTGCATGCGGGGTCTCCTGTGTGCGTGGACGTTGGTGTGCGCCTGGATGATAGGCGTGTGGAGTTGGTGTGCACGTAGGGTCCCGTAAGTATGCAGGGATCCCTGTGGTGCCCGTGGGGTCCTACGTGCCTGGGGGTCAGCAGGGGTGCATGCAGGGTCCTCTATAAGTGGAGGCGTTGGTGTGTAAGGAGGTAAATGCGTGTGGCGTCCCTTGTGTGCACGGGTCGTGATGTGCCTGCAGAGTCCTTGTGGGAGTGCCTGTAGGGTTCCATCTACCTGGGGGGCACTGGCCTGGGAGGGGACTGGTGTGTGGGGAGGCCCCTCGTGCGCGTGGGTGTGGGGAGGGGTCCTGGAGCGCAGTGACTCTGTGTGCCAGTGGGGTCCCAGGGACTTGAGTACTGCGTGCGGAGAGTGGGGGGGTCCTCTGTGAGGGCGTCAGGTTGGGGTGCCCCGGTGGCGGGGGATGCCCGCTGCTCGCGGGGTCCTCCAGCCCGGGCCCGCCACTGGCTCGGCGCCGCCCCGCGGCCTCACCTGCCTCACCTGCCTCCCCCAACTCGCAGGCAGGGCGAGAAGTCCCGCCCCCTACGTCGGGCTGAGCGGTTTCCTAGCGACTGAGCCGGAACTTCCGAGTCACCTCGACTTCCGGGGCGAGGGTCAGGGGTCAGGGATAGGGGCCGAGAGCTTCGGCGAACGGATGGGCGCCGGGGGCA